TAGAATGACGCTCATGCTGTTGATCACTGGATTGTCTGGTCCAGGCTCGATTATGTACATTATGTACAGACCACCTCCATAGAGCTGCTAACAGTGTACTAAACTCACTGAATGTATTGCTGTAGGATTGACATAAAACAACTGTTGTACAATTCTTGGTTTTTATAATACCAATTTCAACCCTATTTCACTGAATCCACATATTCTTAACCTCCTCATACTCGTATCAGACATACAAGTTCCAGTTTAATCGTCATTCCTGTTGATTGAATAGAAGATAACAACTGTTTCAGTTCATGGTATTGAAGATAGCAACTGTTACAGTTCATTGTATTGAATACAACAACAATTTTAATGATCTGTAATGAATATATTTATATACATATATATTAACGGTTTATAAATACATAAGCTATTACACTAGTGTTGTAAAGCCATTTTTGGTCTACAAAGCCGTTTTGGACATGTAGCCGGTTTGGACATGTAGCCATTTTGAGTCAGAACCGTTTGCGAACCGGTTTGATAGACCCTTTTGCGATCCAGTTTGACAGAACCGGTTTTAGGCAGGGGCTGTTGGCGCCAAGCTTGAATGGTCTTTGTTCAATGCCGTGTGCAGTCGGTATGTTGTGCTGTGCGTGTTTAGGTATTCTGGCGGTTTCATGACCGTTTAAAACAGCACAGTAGGTGTGGAATTTATGTGATGGATCATTCTCTATTCTAATTTGTGAGTAATTTTGCGTATGAACGTATTGTGTGAATAATGTTTTTGACGACAGTATCGTGAGTACACATGTTAACAATGCGAGTACATGTACAGACTAAATATTGTTTTATGCAGTTTATTTAGAAAAAAACGATGAATCTAGGGAAAGGTTCTGATTATGATTGGACTGTGTTTATTGTGTTGGGATTTAAAGATTCGTGGCAAACGGGAGTCATGTCAACTTTCTATCGGTCGTATCCTGTGTGTGTATCGGGCTGTGTTTATTCATGCGATTGTGTGTGATTTTTAAGTAGGCTCATGGCATATGTGAGTCATGTGTAATCAACTATCTATAGGTTGTCTTCTGTGTGGGCTGTATTTATTCATATGATTATGTGGGATTTTAAAGTAAGTTCATGGTGACTCGTTCTACATGGGATATTTTGGTGAGAAGCATGCTGTGTGTGATTTCGCTATGAGTTTCAACATTTCACTCAGTTTTTTTCATCGGCGGGCATGGCTAGGACTTTGTTATTTGTTTAAATCTATTTATTTATCATTTTTTTTCAAAATGGCGGCGGGGGACGCGATGTATGACCTGGTTTCTTCAATGGGCGTGAAGGCCGTCATGCTTCTCGGTTCATTGCACGTAGGGAGAGGCAATGTTATGGCAGAATGAACATGGTACACCTCACTCGGAGGCTGTCGCAAATTAAAAGAAAGTATTAACATGGACACTCGGTAACATGTATTTGAAGTTATTTATTTTTCACTCCATTATACGCTTGTTTTCTTAATCTTCATGCTTGGGTGGGAGAAGGGATTCCCTTCCCGTAAACATAGCTTTGAATGGCTGTAGGTCGGACTTACGGGTGGGCAAATGAGTCATTCATTGTTGGAGTACAGTATGAATCAATCTGTTTCTTCACATGAATGGGTTACTTGTTCCAACCCCTCTAACATCATGAATTGGTACCTATGGATGTGTTATTCCCTGATGTCATTCATATGGATATGATGAACAGAGGTAAGTTGACTTCATGTACACTAGTCTTTATCCCCAACACTCGTTCAATCTGATGATGATGTAAATCTTAATCTGTGTTACGATGTATTCTTTGTTACAATGTAAGGACTGAAGGTAGGACGTTTTATACATTTGAATTTCACATTTTTAATAGTTATAGTTAGTCAGACGGTAATTGATACTGCGATAACGGGCGCTCGCTTTGAGATAAAAGAGAAATACACTGGTAGTATAATGTGTAGTGACTCCATTGTATAATCCAAAGATGTTTTGTAATCCAGTGAGAAATATCCACAATGTTTAATTACTCCAGAGATGTGTAGTTGAGAGGCTACTGAAGATATAAACCCAGTGAATCACACAGTATAATCCAAGGTTGATTAGTAATCCCATAAGAAATACACTGGCATGGAGTATATCCACTAATGACTTCAGAGACTGAGTATGACATGGGGCTGTTCAGGGGGACTTATTTATATTATTCTAAAAATATACACACCAGATGTTCACACCATAGTTCTCACTATAGACCTGAGACAAAGACGCATCATCTAAAAATAGACTCAAAACCATGGACCTCATTATAAATTCAAAATGGACGATTTAGTCCCCAAGTAACCTGGTTACAACATGTACCATGCTGTACTCGCTTCAGACGAGTGCTCTCGTCAAGAGGGATACCACAGAAAACTGAATTGCAGTAGTCCAGCCTTGAAGTGAGCAACTTACAAGACTGGCTGCTGCATCTTCAGTGAGATGTGCTCTTATAGAAGCAAGTCGGCGCAACTCGAGAAAGCAGGCACGGGACACACATGAATTTGACGGTACATAATTTATCAATATGCCCCGACAGTCTATTCAAAAACATATGATCTAATGTTTGTATTATGATACTATAATGATCAGTGTTATCAACAAACATAAACACCAGTGTATTTTGAATAACATCTCCTAACGTTCATGTGACAAGGTTATTTGGACAGTGCGTTGTCAATATCAACCAGTAAAATACAATGTTTAACGCTTGCATTAGTCGATATTAATTTAGGGAAACCCAAGTTCAAAACCATTGACGGCGTAAATACCAACACCGTTACCAAGCACTTGCTTGATAACGGTGTTAGTATCTACACCAAGACGTCATATTCATTGCACCATTCGTGACCCACTCTTGTTATCCAATCCGTGGGTGTATCCAGGGGTTTAGTGGAGAGTGATCATAACATATACCCTGGATATTATGGAGGATGATCCTGCACAAGTCGAACAGAGACTCCTGCCGCTCTCAAAGAATTTCATATTCGCGTATCAATATCAGAACAACTTCTAACAAGAACAACTCTATTACTGTTAAATATTCCAGCAGTAATAAACATCATTTAAGGACTCGAAATCTGTTATTTATAAAATACTTTAGCTCGTTTAAAACAATAATAATAATTATGATTATTTGTGGAAAACATATTCCAACACAAGTATTAACGGCTACTCACCTTATATGCGAAAACCTGACCCTCTACCCAGAAACGACACATTAAAATATTCCAGTAAAGTGAAAGTTAATCACAGTGTTTTAGGTTAACATTGAACATATTGTGTTTAAACTGAGTGTCAGAAAGTCCACGTAAAATCTCAAAAGCAAGGCCACAACAGCGTCAGAGAAAACACTCAATTGGAAACACAAGAACCGTGTGTATTGGCATCTCTCCGTTTATGGTCATAATTAAAATCATAATTAAAACGTCAATTGAGAAAGGAAGAAAACTGTTTGGACGTCTACTTCTTTATTATGAAGAACACAACGTACATACATGAACCGCAGTTCACCTGATAAAGGAGTAAACGTTGTCTTCCTCATAATAAAGATGTTGACATCCATAAAATTCTCCTCCTTATGGTTATCACTTCTAAATGTCATACAAAGTCATTTTAATCAAATTTTTAAATATAGTTACACAACTCGGTAGTATTTTTATCAAAGTACCTCAATCCTTTTGCACATTCTGATTCATTTGTCGTATTTTCCCACATAACATTCATTGATAGGTAAATGAGTCTTCTTGGTGCTTATGAAAATGGGAAAGCGGTATCAAAGGGCAGTTCATACACACAAAATAGACGGGTGCATGTCTCCGCGGTCTCCCAGAACTGTAACAAGTTGGTTTCGAATGTAGTAGAACGTGTAGGTCTTTACATCTTTGTGGGCAAGTATGGCGCTTTCGCCTCATTGATGAACAGTTTTGCCATTCAGTTTTGTTCCAGTTATTGTTTTTCTTTCTCCTTATCTCGCTTGCTGTGGCAACACCACAATCCTATCCCTGCCATTGCCCCCACAACGATTCCAATAGCTATAAGGACAGCAGTCAGTAAGTCAGCCTGAAAAGAAGATGTTAAGAAACATGTGGTTTGTGTGTTTTTTTAACCAAGAATCTTGGAAAGTAGGAAAATAATTCAATCATGGGTCTGTAAAATGAAACAGCCAATGTTGATGAGCATGTTGGCCGTTCTGAAAACTAATGTGTTACCAGGCCAGGTGTATTGTCTGGCTTCTCCTCTTTAAGAAGATCTTGTTAGTTTAAAGCAGAGGTCATTTCCAGGAGTACTGCTGTATAGTGTTTGCCAAAACTATTTTCACACCTGTTTCAATTGTTTCGCAAATAGTGTAAACTGATTATTCTCAGACGTTGACTATTCTGATACAACATATCCGTTTGCTGCAATTCCTTCCTGACATGCTAACAGCAAACGAGACTACCAATGTGACAAGATGATAATTTTAGTTTATTGTAATCTAAACACAACTAAATCGTTGTTCCGCTTGACAAATTTACTGCACCTAATCATGTTCATGGAAGCAAATCAACTTGACAAAGGAGCAGTTGACTAAATACAAACCTGGCCACTAACTTCTATGCCATACCGGCAATCTGTAGCAAAGTGTTCACAGTTCTTAGAGAGTAAGTTATATCCAACTCCTCCAATTTGGGATGATGCTCTTCTTACTATCTTAGCTGATTTCAAATGTATGTTAAAAACAGAACAACAATATGATGATTTGAAAAAAAATATAAATGGAAAAGATGAAAAAGGCAACAGTGACTTGATATACATCACTGTGTAGGATTTCAAAGTAAAACATTTCTAGGCTCCGTTGTTGTCAGTAACATGTAATTCCGACAGTTTTAATTACTGGTTTGTCTGGTCCAGAGTCAACTACGTCTTTCAGCTGGAAAAGATTAAATGCTTCGTTAACAACAAATAAACCTTACGGAAATGTCTCGTCATTTGAGTTGTTCTTGTACGCCTTGCTGTCTCCAACAACGTCCCAAAACTTATCTTTGCGAACAGTTCCTTTATCATACACTTTTCCAGTTACTGATGATGCGTGTTCCGGTCCACTCCTCATTGGACCATGGACTCCAGTCCGATGCACGACTTCTTCATTACCTGAATATGTGACAAAAAGTACCATTAGATACATATACATAATTATACGTAACCGAATGATCAATAGCCTACCGCTTAGGCAAACTCGTGATGTGAAATGATGCTGAAGTACTGGGCCCGGTTTCACAATGTGATCGCAGCGCTAAGGTGATTATAACTCCCATACTTTAACAGTGAGTGAGTGAGTATGGTTTTACGTGGCTTTTAGCAATATTCCAACAATATCACGACGGGGGACACCAGAAATTGGCTTCACACATTGTACCCATGTGGGGAATCGAACCCGGGTCTTCAGCGTGCCGAGCGAACGCTTTAACCACTAGGCCACCCCACCGGCCACCCCATACTTTAACATAGACTAACGACATTCGTAGGGCTACGATCGTTTTCTTAAAAGGGGCCACGTACTTATATTTATGGGTAAGGGCATAATCTACATGTATGAAGATAACGTTCAAGTTGTAAGTGTTTCATGTTTATTTCTCCATTCAGAGATTGATTATATCCTCTTTGATACATATGGTTCTGAGACTCACACATCGTGGACTTGTGGTATTTGTGTTTCATTGTCGTGTAATGCCGCACTTAGCAGCTATTTTCCAGCTATATGATAGCTGTTTATTAACAATCGAGTCTGGGCCACACAATCCCCTTGTTGACACCAAGAGGATCGATCTATGCAGTTTCGATACAATGACATGCACAGAAACAACAAGTTTGAATACCCGATCCCGCTGGTCGTCTCTTACCGGCATAGGTGGCTGAAGGTCAATAATGTATTCTAACCGGACCTTCACAATCAGGTCACAAGGTTATTTTATACAGCATATATTATTCATTAACGGAATACTAGATTCAATACTACATCATCAATCTCAATCAAGATGATACTTTATAACGTCAATAATGGGTTACAGTGGACGTATGTACTTACCTCGAATGCCAACAACTGAATTGATCGATGCTCCTGATATCAATCATTAGATTGTCTTGGCCATCCGTGATTATTTACATATTTCAGTCAGGTACTTCGAATATTGCTTGTACGACACTACACAACAAAAAGAAAAAAAAAACTTACGCAAGACTTTCTAAAAAGTATTTGTTAACAACTCCTACCAATGTCCATAGCCCAGTGATTGTACACTCCTCGCGGAAACTCCACCAGGTCACCTGGTTCCAAACTGTCAAGTACTCTCTGATTGTGAAGCTGTACTTCAAGGGACGACATTTGTCTTTATTCTTTAACTGTACTGTAGCTGCACTGTGTCTCTGGAGAGCCTCCACTTGTATGTTTTCTGAAACGTCAAAGAGAAAATATAGAATGCAAACTAAAACTAAATAATCATTTAAGAGACCCACAATCAACCACCAGAAGATGAAACAGTCCCTTGAGATCAATGAACCAATGATAACTGGAATAGTATGACAAATTCAAGTGACCAAAACACAAACGCTAATGATTTCATCCCATGTGTTATCTACCACATATAGTGACCATGACACGACGCCCATTTTGACACTGTTACGCATTAACTTTGCCTTTACTTAACACCTATTCCCCTCGGTAAGGAAATTCCATTTCTACAAGCAGATATTTAAGTGAGTGAGTGAGTTAAAGTATATTTCAATACGTGGCAACTTGCCATTTTTCCATTAGGTTCATATTAATTTACAACACTTGGAGTAAATTTGGACTTTACATAAAAGTTATATACATAGATTCATTCCTTTTTTTCTAAATACTGATGATTTAATGAAGGGTAAATAAAACTACGTTTCATTATGTGTCAGTTCCTTGTCAACATCGCATTTGGCTCATATTAGTGTATAACATGTTTCTTGGAAAAAAAATCGAACCTTGGAATATAGTTATATAGACAAATAAAATGGTCATAAATAATATCTACAAAATCATAGCACCGAATTTGCTTACGGACTGATGTAGGTATTACGTTGCTCAGGTTCACTCAACATCGATAATTCTATCGACAATAACGCTCACTGCGTCAACGTCAATAAATATAAAAGGATGTCGTGGAATTGTTCATACATGAGTCGAGATCATCTATCTCTATAATATAAATGCACTAAATACATGAAAGCGTAATTTTGTCGTAAGTAAAACCTGAAAATAAGAAATGGTCGAGTTTTTTTAAACTGTGTCTTAACACTAGTAACAATCCGCGGAGCAGTACGTTTGTAGTTTATGACTAATAATATTTTATGACTAATACCTTAACAATATTAAGTGATGGTGAAAACTATGGCGTAAATTTGTGAAATATGTTTGCAACGAAATGGCATATAATTTATTGATCTACTTTAAATGAAGGGCAGTGATTTAGTCTTGAGACTATAGCATTTACTCCTCCCACAGAAAATGGGTGCAATTCCTCATATGGGTAGAATATGTGCAAATCTGGAGTCATAATATTGTTGGAATGGTGCTTAAAGCTCACTCAGTCTCTGACGATGTAACATTATTGCTCAATGTCACTACAAAATTGATTTCATAAGTCAACCATAAATCACCCGTAAATTCCATGCGATTCTAAACATTTATGAGTATGAATAGTTGAAAATATTAGCTGAAAGGTTCACCTGATTTATTTCTATACGACATAAACCACCAGCAGAGTAATTATAGATGACACTAAATTATTGTTGAGCATTCCATCTTCCAATAAACAACACTCAACAATACATTGGGATTACACACTGGCGAAGTATAGGTTATGTCTGTATTTCAAGGAGAGCTTAATGGAGAAAGTAAAAACATTTCGTGTACCTCAAAAGATGACCTAAAACAACAGTTACACAATAGTATGTGTTTGCGTATCGGTATATTGGACAGGGCAGCGGTGTGACGAGACTGTGAATCCCCATGGTATTGCGCAACTATGTATATTTATAGCGCCAGCTCACTTTGTCATGAGCTACAAGAGGATTACGTGGCAACGATTATACTCATCACGTGAAGATACAGTATTGATCCAATGACGTAAAAGTGTACACATATGAAAGGTTGATGTAGACTACACAAGAGTTCATAGAACACTGAAGAGAGTCTACTTGTCTGCTAAAGTCTATGATATAACTGTTGGTTGAAACATTATGACCTTGACTCCCCAACTCATGCTGTGTAAAACGTTATTACAAAACCACTTAACATATTGTATTGGGATGTTGGAAGTTTCTTCAAATCGCGATTTCGAAACTGAGGTAGATATATTCTTATTATTGACATATATCCAGATGAAATATCGATGCGTTTAATTAGCAGATCAATAACATGCAATATGTGTTAATAAGATGAAATTTGCGTTAAAGTGAATTGTGCAGTCTGCATATGATATGTTGCATCTCAAATATCAGTTAGATTACTGATTAGTTCAATCAAATATCATAAGGTGAAAAGTGGATTGTAGATATTGCATATAGTATATGTTACACAAGAAAGTGAAAAGTTTAAATCAATCATGATTTCTTTCTCCAAATGTGAACTGTTATAGTGGTGTATGTCAATGAGACGCTATTATTCCTTTGATAAAATATGTGAACATGGGTATGAGGGAAAATCCTAAGGGTCGACGAGTGTTAGTAAGTTGTTATTTAACGTCACATCGGCAATATTTCAGCCATATAGTGACGGGAACATGTGACATTGAAATAGAATATATATAGATATTATAAAAACCTGCCGACGAAGGACAGTAAAACAACTAGAATATCACAGATATACATGTAAAACTAGTAATTGAATCTAAAACATTTTAACTATAGGGGACAACACAATATAAAAATAGGCTATAGATCACCAACAACTGAAGATAGATCACCATACTAGGGTCCATTGGGACTTACAGTACCTTTACTACCTGCATGGACCCTAGCTGGATTTACATCATCCCTTCAGCTGCTGGTGATTGTAAGAAATGTTAGCCAATGTTAAAATTACAAGAATACTACGTTTAAAAATCCTGGTGAGTTTAAATTGACTTTGAATATATTGGGACTTACGTACCCTCTCAGGAGGACAATAATTTTACAGAACTTTAACCCCCTTTGAGGGTACAGCCGTTAACAATCTCAGTTACTAATCTAAACTACCAATAATAAAATATGTACCTATTTACAAATCAGTTAACAAATCTAATTCTTAAGGGTCAACGAAGAAATTTCGTTACGTAGGGGTCTTATTGCAATTGTGGTTTTCAATTATCTGGCAATAGGACTACAACCCAAGAGTAGACACTACATGAGTCATTGATTTAGTACTGTGTCCTACGTCCAGGGTTACCTATGCCCACACTCAAACAAGCCATCGAGACATAAAGTCGCTTCTTTTGATAAATACGTGTTTGGAAATATAGCCCAGAAGCTCAATCCAATTTCAACAACAGTATAACAGTCAATGGCAAGATACTGACAAGCAACATTGTTCCAAAATACACATCAGTTGAAATAAATTTACGCAGAGACACATAGTCACGCAGTTTTTTGGTACCTATTCTGTAATTCTGGAATGGCAAAACACGAAATATGGCCCGTAAGTACTAGTAGGTTACGGCACTCCGCGGGACCTACGTTGTTTAGTACTTCCGGTGACAAACAATGTTTCATACCTTTTCGAATGGTCTCGTGGTTGTCAGTCGACAGTATAGAACCGATAATCTTTGCATAAATAACACATTTCCGATCTAACAACCCCCAAATTAGCCAACTATTACTACTGTCATTAACTGTGACAGCCAAGCATAGTTGTACAAAGTCATATTTCGTGGTTGCGCAATTTGAACATACGCGTGTTACCGGAAATCTGGTACCGGAAGTACCACCTCACGAGACGCACGGGTCCTTCATACCAACGGTTCCCTCGCCTTAAGATCCCTAAAAGAGCAAGTGTACATTGCTAGCAAATTTAGCTCTTGACTTCTGATCTATCTGCGTACATTGCATTAAGTCATCTCCACAACTTACACGGTTGGGAGCTCCTGCAGTGTTAGTTAGTGAGTGCGTTAAGTTTTACGCTGCTTTTAGCAATATTCCAGCAATATGACGGCGGGGAAATACCATCATGGGCCTCATATAGTGTGGGGTATCGAACACGCGGCTTCCGCATGACGAGCGAACGCTTTAACCACTAGGCTACCCCACCGCCCCTTCCAGTTTAAGAGTAGAGATAATAGATCAGACTTGATGGCTTTGAAATAGAATTCAGGAAAGAACACTGTCGCATTCGTTTTGGTTAATTTTGCCACTTTCTCTTTGTTTTTGTAATGGCGACAACGCGACAGTGTCCCTTCTAGGTGTCCATACACGTTGCGAATGCACTAAACTGGGTATAAGTGGTGTGGTAGAACTACATGTTCTGTACCGTAGTTTTGTTTTGCATCACAAATCAGATATTTCAACTATAACAACAAATATCATTATCCATTCTTCGCCGTTTTCTAGTCTCTTCATGCACGGTTTAAAAGAAGAAATCAGGAGCTACCGAGTTTTCTGAAGAAACTACACATTTTCTATAACTTTAGTCGTGGTATGCTGTTCAAATTACACTAAGAAGTGAATGACAAACTTTCAAATTCCGATTGTCAAATATTTTTACATTGACTCACAAACTTGCAAATGCAGAATCACAAACCTACGAATAAGGAATCACAGGCCTACACTACTGAATCACAAACTTACCAATACTGTATCACCAACGAACAATACTCAATCATTAACTTTCAAACACTGAATCACAAACTTACACATGCTTAATTACAGTTTTACAAATACAGAGTTACAAACATTGTTTCTTCCTACAATATATTATATGTAGGATCTGTGTCACATCACATTTGACAGACGAATTATATAAACACTTACATTCCTTGCCTTCAGCTGCGCAGTATACTCCCTTTCCTGACTGCCTTTAGTGGCTTCTGCACAACATCTTGTGTGATCTTGACATTGCGTTCACCCAGGCATGTATTCCCGAGGTATCCTAACTGCACGTAACGGAATATGCCATTTCAGTGTTACATAGGTTTGCAACGGGTCCAAGTTTACATATACTCAATGATGACAAGAAACGAGGATCTTGTTGCATTTCACTATCAGAAATATTTCAGCAATTCACGTTGCCATGGATTGGACATGGTGATTGATTTTAATCGCAGTGTCCTCGAGTAGGGTTTCACACAATCAAACACGCCATCGAGAAATTCAATCCCCTCTTGTGATAAACATTTGTTCAACGCTTAACCAAGGGTCTCCACGGGGTAGCAAATATTGTAATAAGCACTTTCAAAGACTGGCGAGACCAAAGCCATTTTACTGGTAGTGGTTATAGACAACTGATTTTAAAATGTGTGCTGGAGCTTTGTTACAGGGAGTGAACTGGCCTACGCAGGGGCTATGAGCAAGTTTAAAATATTCAAGCAATATCAGGGCGGGGGACACCAGAAATGTGCTTCACACATTGTACCAATGTAGGGAATCGAACCCGGATCTTCGGCGGCATGAACGAACGCTTTAACTGCTAGGCTTCCCTTTTCATCTCAAATGGCGATGAAATGAGTCTTTGTAAGGTTTTATAATAGTGAAAGTTAACAGTTCTTCGTGAAGTTCAGTGGCTGTGATGTAATAACGTGTCGTACCCTCACTGCGTTGTAATGTCTATTGCTCTGCCGTCTTGTTGTGTCTGTGGCTGTGATGTAATACCGTGTCGTGCCCTCACTGTGTTGTAATATCTATTGCTCTGCCGTCTTGTTGTGTCTGTCGCCGTGCTGTCGTAGCTATATAGTGTTGTAGTGTTGTAGTGTCGTGTCCCGGTGTCGGCCCGGAGTAAGTTAAGTGCAACACCAGAAGTTATCAGAAATGTTATCAGTTATCAGAAACGCCATAAGAACAATAACGAATAATAACAAATAACATCAACCATTAACATTCATCAACTTTTCCTACTCAGTTCATCCCGGATATTACAGAGGCATTGTTTTAAAATACACTTATAATTAATATGAATTTCATTATAAGCTTACAAATACCGACTGACAAACATAGATCTTCTGAATCACATTTTATTTTTCCTACTTTATAACTATTGTGTGCCAAATCACGAAATATACCAACCTTTTCCTTCCTATCACTGACGTCTTCATAAAAATCTCCTACCTAAGGCAGCTCTTCACAGTTGGCCTTCCTCTTACACTGTGTTATGTCATCCTGACATCGCATGTCAGGTAAATCAACTGCGTTGGAACAAACTATCGCATTATAAAAGTCTCTGCTAGTAGGTTGACAATAGGACAATAGTTACTTCATGCCAACCTGACGCAAATAGCGTGACTTCCATTGTCAGCTTGCATAAACAACCTTAAAACGGCCATCTGTAAAGCGGAACAAAACAATTCATCAAAGTGAGTGAGTATGGTTTTGAGCCGTTTTTAGCAATGTCCAAGCAATATCACGGCGGGAAGTTCATCAAAGGGAGAAGTTTAATGGTCATTTGTATGCTCAACATGTGGCAGAGGAATATCTTGCGTTAAAAGAAAAAGATTCAAGTAATACAATATGAAAATATGTCCTAATATGAACTACCTAAGGTGTTCACAAAACAGTACCTAGTAAATAAAAGCGAAGATGTTCACAAAACAGTACCTAGTAAATAAGCGACAAAACCCTTTCCACATTCTATATATGAGTTATCTGCTAAAAACTGAGTCGGTTGCACAATTGTGACTATATCATGAGCATATATGTGTTTCAGCAGTATTAGAGTGTAACACATGTACAAATTCAGAACATGGAAATGGGAGACATTGTAACGTAACATTGTAAGTTGTTGTTCACTGATCAGGAGTACGACTGCAACGATTAACCCACCTCGATTCGATTCGAGTTTCGATATTGGACCCTCGATTCGATCATTTTCCATTCGAATCTTCATACAAGTAAAACATCAGATTTTATTTAGCTCTAAGAGTTGGTCTTTTTAGCGTTAAATCAATCGTCAACTTGGCGATATCTACTTACAACAATTTTCATTGGATAATAATCAACCAATCACGTTTCGCATTATTTCAGCGCTCGAAACTGCTCGAGTTGAAGTCAAATTTACGTTCTGGCTTTGTGGAAATAATTTAAATAGGTATTACAATATCGAGTCCGACTAGTGATAATGGTTATCGAAAATCGAAACTAAGGTGTCAGATTTGATTTTCGATAAATCGAACCGAATCGCTGTAGTCCTAGACACGAGGGGGGCATGAGTTGATGTACCCTCTATGTTTGTTTGTTACGTGTCAACCTATAGGCCCCGAGGGAACAGTGTACAGCGTATTTATCTTACCGAACACCTCAATGTTAATTTTGAACTGTTTGAAGCACGGGTACCGGATAATAATAAGGTGCACCAGGGTTAAGCAATTAGCCAATACCGACCATGGCTACATTTTCAGATGACATAGAATCTAGCAGACGACAAGAATAATTTAGAGTTACCTCCCTTCCGCCTATATGCATTCGCTAAACATCAAACTTGACTCAATTATTCGAGATAAAGCATTACTAGCACGAAGTACCAAAGGAATTCCCATAGTTCTGTATTCCCAGCGGGTAACATAGAAAACGTTGTAACGTATGTTTGTAAGCGTGGTACATTGAAAATAATAAAAGAGGGCTCACCCAATCAGAAAACGACATTTATGTGTGAGGTAAGACAAGAGATATTGTTGAAGTTGTTCAGGAACCGGTGCTAATTATAAGTGTTACTTATCAATGATGAGTTAATGATCATCAGAAAGTTGTGTTTAATATAATGTTCGGTAAATATATAGACTGCTTTTGGCTGTTACTTGTCTACACAAAGATCAAGTCCTCAATTTTATCAATGGTGATGTCACTTCTCTTGTATACTCGCATGGTTCGAAGCCAGTATATTCCCCAAGTATGTGGCCTCTCTCAATGCATGACAAAACACCGAGGTCGAGATCACCAGGTCGAAACTAAACAAATCTTCTACATTTATTCGTGCTACGGGTTATTCCCTGCAGGGGCGGAAGTGACAGTCTAGTGGTCAAAGCTTCCGCTCGTCACGCTAGCGGGTTCGATTCCCCAAATGGGTATAAAGTGTGAAGCCCATTTCTGGTGTTGCCTGCCGTGATATCGCTGGAATAGTGCTAAAGGCGGCGTAAAACCATACTCACTCACACACTCACTATTCACAGGAACGTAGAAAAGGTCAGTCAGTGTTAATGTCATTTCAAGACACAGACGCGTGATGAACGAAGGATCGGGAAATGATTTTAATTATACATCATTGAACGTCAGTTTTGCGGTATGTGACCGACCACTCGTCCAACATGAAATGTGCATGTCGTGTTAACTTCACATTAAAAAAACGTGTACAGTTAACAAAAGCCGTCAAATGTGTTCTGAAGGTGGCAAACTATACTGCTCCTTACATCCCACTAACTGGCCAGTTTTCCAGACAATCCTTTACGTGATGGCAATTTTGGCACATACTCTACCACATCCACCATCTTTCCCGTTTCGTAAAATACATGACATAGAAATTAAGATATCAGTAGCATCCTTTAAGTTGGTTTCATGCTACTTGAACACAATCATTACAAAACTGTTTACATATTTATTGCACACATACGATGTATACAAAATTGTTGAAAAGAAATATTTTCTTATATTCAAAACACTGAAAAATGACACATATTTACTGAATCGTACCACAAATTAAACAAATGGAAACTTCTCTCAAAATGTCTACAAAACAGGTATAGTAATGGTCATAAATATAGTTTTCAAAAACTGTTGCTATGACAACCATATAGAATTCTAACAAATTATAATATATAATTCTAACATGTTCAACAAATTTGACTAAAACAATTGCTGCGAAGAAGCATGTGAAGTTTCAGCTTTACTGGTCCAGAGGATTCGGATGATAAAATGTACATGATGCACAAAAAACAAGCAGGAAATAACCTAACCTCACTTCCTGTCAGGTACAGTTATAACACCACTTAATCAATCTGCATTTGGTATTTAAAAGGCCTCAGGCCTATATTACATTACACAATATTTACAACTGAGCAGCAGAAAAACATATGTCAAGTATTTACAGATTACAGATTTAAAACAGAATGTGTTAATAATGCAAAGGAATCTTAGCTTATGTTTGAAAAATGACAACACACCTGTGTTGAACTTCAGAAACCTTCAATTAACCTCTTGAACAACAAATACGCTTTAATGTCCGCGTGACATTCTGCACATGGATTCGTGTGCCGTATGCTCGCTAACACTGACAGTCGGTCGGGGATCTAGTGTCGGTGTCTTCAGAAGCCTATGATTTTCAATCTTCACTTCATAATCCACTACATCTATCATAGCCAGACATGAATTTCCTTGGATCGAAGCACTCATAGTACCATAACCACGGCCGTCAATACGGATACTATCGCCTACACATGACGCCATGTTTGTTTACACTGTGAACGTAGTCCCTAAAATTTGCATATGACCTCTCTAATTTGCATCCATATCTGCATATGACCCCAACTGATACCGAAACTATCCGTTGGCTTTATCCTGCCGAGAATGCTATCCATTGTATGATAAATAAATATATTATGGAATTATCAATCGTTTTGATTGTTCTAATCATTATAATACATTGTTCAATGTAATCAAAAGACATTTGCACCTTGGTACTTTAAGTAATGACTTTGGCTTCAGTAATTATTTTAACGGTTACATTATAGTTTCTTGTGTGTGTGGGGAGGTTGGGTAGTCTAGTGGTTAAAGCGTTGGCTCGTCACGTCGAAGACCCGGGTTCGAATCCCCACATGGGTACAATGAGTGAAGCCGATTTCTGGTGTCCCCCGCCGTGATATTGCAGGAATATTCTAAAAGCGGCGTAAAACAAAATTCAGTCAATCTTGTGTGTGTAATAAACTTTTACCACCTGTCTTTCATTTATCAATGATAACATTTAAGCTAATTATAAACCTCTATCCATCACAAGGGTTATATTTCCCTCATTACTGAACCAGATGTTACGTTTTCTTTGCATTATTAAAACATTACATTTCAATGAGTTTTGTAAAAGCTTCTTGTTTTAAAACGCTGCAAGACACAGTTCTGCCATGGCCACCTGAAAGTCGGGAGACTTCGACAGACAAACCATTGATTGTGAACACTTTTTATACCATAAGAGTATGAAGGCAAGAAATAAGCAAAGGAACCGATTTTGATCACCCGATTCGTTAAAGTCGCCTATTAAAACAAAAGGTAGCTAGATCTCAAAAGTCTGTCTCGGATAACAAACAGCATTCTTAATATATATTGTTCATCTAATGTGGTTGTATAAATTAAGCAGATGTTGTAGGAGCTTACATAGTAAAACTGCTTTAAGACGGAGATGGAATAAGAGCTCTCGTTCTTGTTTCCCAGCCTTCACAAGTTCATACTACATGATGGAATCTTTTGTGAGGGACGCGAGTATCCAAAGACGTGTCCCGGAACTGCTGATATGGAATGCTTCGAAAGGCTGAATGAACAGGAGCATGACTCAGGCATGAATATTAGGCTTGTAACGGAATGGTACAAGTTGGTGAGGAATGTTGTGGAATCCAGTAAACCGCTTTGTGATCAAATATGGGGCATTCGTCGAACACTCCACAGTTTCCTTGACCGATTTATTTGGTTTCACCATTTTATGGTGGGAATTGAACTTGTTAGTTTTTGGACCGTTTTTCTCTTTCCTCCTTTCCGCCACTTCAGGAAAACCAGGCAGTCAATGCTACCCCTGCTACTACCACAGCGGCGCTCCCAACAACCATAGCTACTGCATTACACAGAACCTTGGCCTAAAGGAAAGGAAAACAATTGATGTTTGGTTTGTTTTCTACATTCAAAATGTGTTTCCAGAATCCCAGACCCGCCATATTGCTGGATATTGCTAGGTGCGGCGTAAACTAGACTCACTCACAAAAATCCCAGACAACACTATTTCAACCATACGGTTTTCTGTAAGGAACACCAAATAGTTCTAAACGTGCTGGCTGTTCTGAAAGGTAATGTTACGACCTCAAGGTGAATCGTTTGGCATCTCTTCTTAATAAAGAATGAGTGAGTTGCGATGTACATCAGCAATTTTCCAGCAATATCACGCCCGAGGATACCAGAGTTGTGCTACATAAATCGTAATCGTACCCATTTGTGAAATTTAAACCGAAGAACATGTACGTCTCAAAAGAGATATTTGCAAATAGATCCGTATGGTGAAAACCCATTTGCGAACAGAATACAACAATTTAAAAGCAGACGTCGTAGCAAGACAGGAAAAGTGCAATTGCTTTCTTTCTAGTTCCTTAATTCTTGAGTGATCAGTTCATATTAATTTGACCACTATTTCACCATTTAAGGCAATCTGTTTGGCAACAGAGAGATTGACCATCTATGGTATTGATATTTTATATCAAGATACAACGTGACAATTTGCTACACTACCTGCCCTACAAGACTGTTATTCATTTATGTGTAGGTTTTACACTTTAATATCGAATTTAGATGTCCCTTTGCAACAATATCTTTGAGAATTTGCTACCAGTAAATACTTCTTTTGTATATTTGACCAGTGGCAAGATAAATATCTGTCTGAGCAGATCTACACGTAATTAAACGTAATTAATTAAACAAATAAACCTGGCAAAGGAACAGTTAGACAAATACAAACCTGATCACTTTCTTCTTTGCCATACCGGCACCATTTAGCAAAGTGTTCACAGTTCTTATAGAGCAAGTTATAGCCAACTTTTCCAACTTTGGATAATGCTCTTTGTACTATCCTAGATGGTTCCAAGTGGCTGGAAACAACAGAACAACAATGTGATCCTTTGGAATTCAATTCCTTGGTATTAAAGGGAACGATAGAAAGACCCCAAAAACTGGATAAATACCATTGTTCAGGATTTCAAAATGAACCGTTCTTCCAGGATTGTTACTGGGAGTAACTTTCACTTAATGACACTATCAATTATTGTTGTTGTTTTTCTGGTCCAGAATCAATTGTTTAGATGTGACACCGTCCTACAGCTAGAGCAAAAATGACTGCTGAATTGAACAACAAACAAAACTTACTGTAATTCCAAATCCTTTGAGTTGTTTTTTTCCGCTTTGCTCTCTTCAGCTACTGTCCAAAAATTGTCTTTGCGAACGATTCCTTTATCAGACTTTACTCCAGATATTGTACTAGGGTGCTTCAGGTCACTTCCACCTGCACCATCGACTCCAGACAAGTGCACGACTTCTTCTTTACCTAAATAACACACGAGAATATTATAACATTATTTATTACAAGATATGTAATGCAGTTTTGTCAGAAATAACCGAATGCCCAATACAAAACCTCTTCATAAATTCCATGATATGATTTGGCGTTTAAGAACAGATGTTTAATCTTTCAGGAAAGGTATCTACAAGTCAATATGGCATCTATGTTTAAACTTTTATGTGTCCGAGAAATTTAATAATTACACATTGACATATATGATTCTAAAACACACAAATCGTAGACATATGGTTTCATTGTTTCTCTGTTGTTCAAAGGTACCTTTCCGACTATATGCCTTTCTTTAAACAATCGAGTCTGGGCCAGATCATCCGGTGATTGGCATCATGAGGATGCATCAACCAAGTCACCGGCTCGATCGCCTCTTGCTACAAGCATGGGTTACTGAAGACCAATTATAACTCAGATAGGATATATGCCTTGTGATATCCATGCAGTGGCGGAATACTAGATTTGCATCTTTATTGTGCAGATCTCAAAATGTCAGGTGTATTTTATTGTGAATCTCTATACGTATTTTGAAAACAATTCCATTGATGGATGCTCATGATTTCAATCACTGGATTGTCTGAGCCAGCTGTGATTATTCACAACTGCTGTCATATACCACGTATATTGCTGACACAACATTCAACAATACAAATGCGCAGAAAAACACAAAATTTACATAATATTTTGTTACACTACACTTACCGATATACACAGCCCAGTGACTGTACACTCCTCGCTCAAACTCCAACAAGTCACCTGGTTCCAAGATGTCAAGTACTTCCTGGTTGTGTTTCTGTAGTTCAAGGGATGACGTTTCTGTACTATTTAGCTATGCACTTTGTGAACTGTGCCTCCAAATATTTATTTTCGCCGCTTTTGGAAATATCCCAGCAGTATCACAGTCAGTGGACACCAGAAATGGGCATCACACATTGTACCCATATGAGGAATTAAACCCAGGGATTCGGTGAGATGGGCAATTGCGTCAACCACTACCCTACAATCCATCTTAATGATGAACTTGTACGTCTTGCGTGATATGTTTGCAAATAGGATATTATGGCGATAGCCAAAAGGCGAAGCACAATGCTTCCATTCAAAGCAGACGTCGTCGTCGCGTGACAGGAGTAGTGCAAAAGCTTTCTTTAGAGGCGAATTCTTCAGTGATCGGTTCATCTTATTTTTACTACTATTTTATCATTTAACAAATATGTCTGTTTCTCATCATAGACAAGACTGACCATCTCTCATTTTACATTTTATATCAATATTCGCCAAGGCCAGTAGGTACAAATGCGTCCTGACCTGGCTATCAGTAGACGAGACTGTTATTCTTTGACGTTAGGCTTTATACTTCAACACAGAAATTTAGATGTCCATGTGCGACAATAAATAAGTCTTGTGTATGTGTGACCAGCAGCAAGATAAATGTTTTTGTCTGAGCAGACCTAAACGTCATTCATTAGTTGATCTCCAACTTACAGAGCCTTGTGGAAGCTAAGTGAACCTGGCAAATGAACAGTTGAACAAATACAAACCTCTCTATTTTCCTGTGTGTTCTTTTCAATTGCTGTAACTGTCGCATATGATTTCAGTGGACTGTAAACAGCAAACCAACAATATGACCAATTGGAATTTAGGTCCTTGGCAATAACGGTGTGCGTGAAAAGGGCAACAACAACAAAATGTAAACCATTGTCCAGGATTTATACATGGACCGTTTTTTAGGGTCCGTAAGGTTGTGAGTTACATTACTGGTTTGTCTGTTCCAGAGTTAGTTATATTCACGTTACATCATCTTACACCTGGACAGGAAGTGTTTTTTCATCAACAACAAAACTTACTTTGATTCCCTGCCTATTACATTTATGCTGTGCATCTTGCTCTCTCCAACAACATTCCAAAAGTCATCTTTGCGAACAATTACATGTAATTTATCATCATGTACTCCACTTCTTTCTGCACCATCGACTCTAGACAAGTGCACAACTTCCGAGTTACCTAAATAATACAAGGGAAATTCCGTAAAACAGAATGAAGACAGAAAGTCAGGGAATAAGAGAAAGATAAACATTGAGACGTGAACTTGGCCTAAGCTTTCGCGAGGCAAGGACACGACAAGGTCGTCAGAGGACACTAGCGAAGTAGACGAGTTAAAGGGCGGGGTGAAAGTAACAAATCATTGAAAAGGGGAGTCACCGAACGGTGCTGCTCGAGGACCCTCTAATTACAATACACATGAGTGAAGTGACAGATACAGTTATTATCGTATCAAAACGATATATTGAAATATGTGGTCAAAATCAGGTCAGGCTCGTCTCGTTCAAAAAAGACATGTGTGGGCGCTAAGAACTCAGAGTGCGGAGAGTACTAGCTCAATATTTCGGAAGCCAATCTACTTTACTCAGTTCTCCGTGTGGTAACCATACTGCCCTGTCCTGTGTTGGAGTTGTACGTAGAGAGAAATGGACTGAGACAGAGTAAACCTATGTGAGTGTAGAACTTGGTCTTGCGTTTTTCCTTGAATGTATGTGTGCCCGTACATAAATGTAATGCGGTTAGTTAGGAGTGACGTTCCATTGACATATATGATTCTAAAACACACAAATCGTAGACATATGGTTTCATTGTTTCTCTGTTGTTCAAAGGTACCTTTCCGACTATATGCCTTTCTTTAAACAATCGAGTCTGGGCCAGATCATCCGGTGATTGGCATCATGAGGATGCATCAACCAAGTCACCGGCTCGATCGCCTCTTACTACAAGCATGGGTTACTGAAGACCAATTATAACTCAGATAGGATATATGCCTTGTGATATCCATGCAGTGGCGGAATACTAGATTTGCATCTTTATTGTGCAGATCTCAAAATGTCAGGTGTATTTTATTGTGAATCTCTATACGTATTTTGAAAACCATTCCATTGATGGATGCTCATGATTTCAATCACTGGATTGTCTGAGCCAGCTGTGATTATTCACAACTGCTGTCATATACCACGTATATTGCTGACACAACATTCAACAATACAAATGCGCAGAAAAACACAAAATTTACATAATATTTTGTTACACTACACTTACCGATATACACAGCCCAGTGACTGTACACTCCTCGCTCAAACTCCAACAAGTCACCTGGTTCCAAGATGTCAAGTACTTCCTGGTTGTGTTTCTGTAGTTCAAGGGATGACGTTTCTGTACTATTTAGCTATGCACTTTGTGAACTGTGCCTCCAAATATTTATTTTCGCCGCTTTTGGAAATATCCCAGCAGTATCACAGTCAGTGGACACCAGAAATGGGCATCACACATTGTACCCATATGAGGAATTAAACCCAGGGATTCGGTGAGATGGGCAATTGCGTCAACCACTACCCTACAATCCATCTTAATGATGAACTTGTACGTCTTGCGTGATATGTTTGCAAATAGGATATTATGGCGATAGCCAAAAGGCGAGCACAATGCTTCCATTCAAAGCAGACGTCGTCGCGTGACAGGAGTAGTGCTAAAGCTTTCTTTAGAGGCGAATTCTTCAGTGATCGGTTCATCTTATTTTTACTACTATTTTATCATTTAACAAATATGTCTGTTTCTCATCATAGACAAGACTGACCATCTCTCATTTTACATTTTATATCAATATTCGCCAAGGCCAGTAGGTACAAATGCGTCCTGACCTGGCTATCAGTAGACGAGACTGTTATTCTTTGACGTTAGGCTTTATACTTCAACACAGAAATTTAGATGTCCATGTGCGACAATAAATAAGTCTTGTGTATGTGTGACCAGCAGCAAGATAAATGTTTTTGTCTGAGCAGACCTAAACGTCATTCATTAGTTGATCTCCAACTTACAGAGCCTTGTGGAAGCTAAGTGAACCTGGCAAATGAACAGTTGAACAAATACAAACCTCTCTATTTTCCTGTGTGTTCTTTTCAATTGCTGTAACTGTCGCATACGATTTCAGTGGACTGTAAACAGCAAACCAACAATATGACCAATTGGAATTTAGGTCCTTGGCAATAACGGTGTGCGTGAAAAGGGCAACAACAACAAAATGTAAACCATTGTCCAGGATTTATACATGGATCGTTTTTTAGGGTCCGTAAGGTTGTGAGTTACATTACTGGTTTGTCTGTTCCAGAGCTAGTTATATTCACGTTACATCATCTTACACCTGGACAGGAAGTGTTTTTTCATCAACAACAAAACTTACTTTGATTCCCTGCCTATTACATTTATGCTGCGCATCTAGCTCTCTCCAACAACATTCCAAAAGTCATCTTTGCGAACAATTACATGTAATTTATCATCATGTACTTCACTTCTTTCTTCACCATCGACTCTAGACAAGTGCACAACTTCCGAGTTACCTAAATAATACAAGGGAAATTCCGTAAAACAGAATGAAGACAGAAAGTCAGGGAATAAGAGAAAGATAAACATTGAGACGTGAACTTGGCCTAAGCTTTCGCGAGGCAAGGACACGACAAGGTCGTCAGAGGACACTAGCGAAGTAGACGAGTTAAAGGGCGGGGTGAAAGTAACAAATCATTGAAAAGGGGAGTCACCGAACGGTGCTGCTCGAGGACCCTCTAATTACAATACACATGAGTGAAGTGACAGATACAGTTATTATCGTATCAAAACGATATATTGAAATATGTGGTCAAAATCAGGTCAGGCTCGTCTCGTTCAAAAAGACATGTTTGGGCGCTAAGAACTCAGAGTGCGGAGAGTACTAGCTCAATATTTCGGAAGCCAATCTACTTTACTCAGTTCTCCGTGTGGTAACCATACTGCCCTGTCCTGTGTTGGAGTTGTACGTAGAGAGAAATGGACTGAGACAGAGTAAACCTATGTGAGTGTAGAACTTGGTCTTGCGTTTTTCCTTGAATGTATGTGTGCCCGTACATAAATGTAATGCGGTTAGTTAGGAGTGACGTTCGACCGACCACTCACTCCTTGACTTAGCAACCATGGACGGACCGAGCGACTGGAGAGCCGGATCTACCATCTCGACTGACAATGTGGAACGGCCATACTTAGTTTACTGAAGCCCAATCGCCAGTTACGACAATATTGAAATGTTTAGCGAAAATCAATGTTCAGTACATGTCGTTGTTCTGCTAAGCTTAATAGTTATGAAGATGAAAATAATATGTTGATGTCAGTCATTTGCAATACTGAATGATTATTTGATATCTTCATATATGGAATTGAATTGAAATGTTTATTGAATGTACAATCTGCATTTGAATAAACCTTGGAACGCTGGCAACGCTGATGCTATTGTTATCCTGAATTCACCTAATATATCCAAAGGAAAATATTACCACGAAACAGTCCATAATGTTTACCATTAGATACATAAAATTATGTAGTCTTCGCAGAATGCCGATATACAGCCACTTTACCAACACCATGATATGATATGACGCTTTGCTACCAGTATTAATTAAAATGTCTGTTAGTAATGGTATCTACTGGTAAATGGTTTAAGATAACGTTCAACATTCAAGTGTTTCATAGGCTACTGAAGGCACAATTTATCACGGATCTTCACAGGTACAACATATGAGTATAATTCAAAGTAAATTAAGCTCTACCAAGTATTTCAATCGTAGAATACCTGCCGTTTTAAATAATGACTAGATATGAGTACAATCGCCAGTGTCGGAAGTGATGGTGACAATCTAGTCAGGGTCCATGCAAGGAAGTATGGTGAGCTACATTCAGTTGATGGTCATCTATAGCCAGTTTTTACGCTGTAATGTCCTTAATAGTATACTTTAGGTTGCATGCTGGTTTTAAGTCTGTAACTGTGATGTCATGGTCGAGTTGCGGCAGATTTTGAGCATGCTTTATATAAGTATGATCTGTTTTAGTCACGATATGGCTGACATATTGCCAAAGTGACTGTAAATTTTAACTCACTCACACATTTGACCACTTTCTAATGGATCCAAGAGGAGCAACATTGTGTGAGTCACAGTCACAGTGAGAATGCAATCCATGATCAACATGTAACATGTCACCTGCTTTTAGACTTTCAAGTACGTCCTTGTTGTGTTGCCAGTGTTCAAAGGACGATGATGTGGATGAGTCATTCAGGTCCCTTCTCATTGTAGCATCGTGTCCAGGCAACTGCCCGACTTCACTGTTCTCTGAAATAAAGGATACATGACAATGATTATCATTAGAAACACATACAGTCTTGTTGAAAACAATGGAATGCGCAATGGTCAACCTCTTTTCCAACCGTGATATGATATGAAGCTGAGATAACTGAAACTATCAATACATCTTTCAGTACTGTATCTACGCGTAAGTGTAGCATCTACATGTTTGAAAATAACGTTCAACGTTTAACCCTCTCAATGCTGCTGTCGGACCCATCCGACAGGAGAACAGCATAATGACAACCCAAACAAAACTTCCAATAACTATGTATGGAATGTACAAATGCTTAGCTTACTAAATCCATAGACTTTTAGTAGTTTATGTACCTAAAAACGAGTGTGTAAGTGCGTCAAAATTTAAAGTCACATCGACAGTATATCAGCCATATCGTGACTATGAAAGTTGTAAATTCGTAAATGTAGAAATGAACAAAAACATACTTGTATACTTACCTGTCTGCAAAGGACAGTAAAGTAACTAGTCTATCATATATATATGTGTTACAGTCAGATTGTGAAAAGGGTCATTTCGTGAAATTTCTAAAGATTTCAGTCATTTCGTGAAGTGACTAAGAGGGTCAGACATTTCGCGAAATGACTAAAATTTCCAGTCATAGCAATTGCACGAAATAACTGAAATGGTGTTGTGAAAATACAAGTGACTAATAACAGACAAGTATTTGATAACAAGCTATACCGACATAATAATTCACGAAAATACATGTTATGTCACATAATTAATTGGACCATAACTTGAACATCACTATATATACTAAAAATTGGCATATAACCATAAAACAATATTTCTGTCTTCAACAATACAATGTAAAAATGGGCTACAAGTCGCAAACAACTGAAGGGAGATGACCATAATAGTGACCACGGGGACTTATGATACCTTTGGTACCTTCATGGACTCTAGTTGGATTTACACCATCCCTTCAGATGTTAGTGATTAAACCTACACTTAACGAGAATTTATGCTAAAAAGATCCTTCGTCGTTGAAACCTTGAAATAGCTAGCCCTTCTGATGAAAAAAAAATAAACGAAAAGGTCGAGATATTCTCGCCACACAAGCACAAACAACGGCCATTGTTGACTTCACGTCGGATGGTAGTCAGTCAAATGTTTTCTTCATAATGAAATCATTTTTTAGCAATTTGATCAGTAATTTTGTGAAGAGAACACACACTGAAGTTCCCGGTCTATTAAAAATTAGCAGCTTTCGGATTCATTAGCAGTAAACAAAAGCAATCTCAATGTTACATCACCGACTGGATGAAAAGGAACTATCATGGCAACGGTGATAAACAAACAACTAAACATGCATCGTGATACCGAAAAACTATTACCATCATTCCCATTTATCCCGCTACAATATTCTCTGGAATCAATTACATAGTCCGATTAGGTAACTGTTCATGACTTTGTAGTCCCTAGTATGGCGAGCTACCCTCAGTTGCTGGTGATCTATAGCCTATTTTTATATTGTGTTGTCCTCTATGGTTAAAATGTTTTAGATTTAATTACTAGTTTTACATTTATATCTGTGATATTCTAGTTGTTTTACTGTCCTTCGTTGACAGGATTTTATACTCTATCTTTAATTAGTGTTGATATATATGTTGTTATAGTCACGATATGGCTGAAATATTGCCAAAGTGACTTTAAATTTTAACTCACTCACTCATGTCTTTGTAAAGAAATTATCATACTCATCCAGTTTATACTTATTTGTTTGATAAACCTTCCACCATCTACATTGTTGACCGCGGCAGGTGACACGTGAGGGCGTAGCCTACTCGCGATGTTTTTAGGTCATAAGACACGATAAATATTTAAAATACGCGTTAATCAGCAGAAACGTATATGCATCCGAACAAAACAATTGAAGACCTACATAAGCAGATAATGAAATATAATCACAATATTTGTAATTGTATCCATCCTTGATACATTTTCTAACTAGATTCAAATTCCCGTGACATGCAAAGTATATTGTGCAATTAACTTTTTCATCACCTTCACTTGGTTACCGTTATATGATATCAACTGGAATTGAATTTCTTCTTCTTTTGTTGTATATTTTTGCCTGCAATATTTCCAACGGTGTGCAAGATTTGTTTTTCACAAATCCTAAGTCGAAAGAATTTCGCAGTCAATTATCGAATAATGTTTGACGCGGGGAGATATTATAATGTCATAACAAAAATATAAGTTTCTTCTGCATCTATCGTTGCAAGAAGGATCATTCTGATAATTGAAGATGGAACCTTTTCTCTGGTGGAGCATCTGTCGTTCACAGTAACGGATGAAAACAGATCTAGTGTAAGAAAAGTTTGTTTTTTTTGATAACTGGATTTAAAAAAAGGGGGAATCTTGAGATCACGAAATATACTACGTCTGTGTGAATTCGCTTTGCTCAAAATAGGTATTTAATTCAAACATTAAAACAGGTAAACGGCACATTTTTTGTTCTCCAAGTAGGAACAAAAGTAAATAATTTAGAGAGACTTTATTTAGTATTGGAGGCCGCGTAGTCCAGAGTACAAATACAAAGAAATTCATACATATTAAATAGCATGGATATAAATGTATGGTTGGTGTGGGAGATCAACTACAAACATACATGTTTCTTTTCAAGTAAATGGCTAAACCTTTGATGTTTACATTTGTGCAAGACATTACTGGAGCAAGCTTTTGATGTGTTGGATAATGACGAAAACAAATTGGTATGAGTCTTTTTTCGACGTTTCTTAAAGAAAGGAC